CGGACGGCAACTTGACCACATCAAGGACCTCTTGGGTGATCCAGAGTGTGGCCCCAAGGCTTGGAGGAAGCTTCTGGATGTGCACTCACCGACACATGCTACCGGCATCGTGCTACTCGCGCGGCGGCTGCGCGACATCAAGTTCGTTGATGGAGAGCCGATGCAACCGGTGTTGGATGAGATGCGGGACATCTTCACGAAGCTCCAAGGAGGCGGTGTGGTGTACCCGGAGCTCGTGCAATGCGTGGAGATCGTGATACGGCTGCCGGAGTCATGGTCTTGCCCTAGCGATCAACCTCAACTCCCAACAACCCCAATGGAGCGTGGATTACATTCGCGCGCGCATCCTAGAGGAGGACCTGCGGAGGCGGAGTGTGGAGCGCTCGGAGGAGGGGGCTGGCTATGGAGTTGGAGGTGGAAAGAGTGGCTTCAAGAAGAAGTGGAAGGGCAAGAACAAGGATACCCTAAGGAGGATGGCGGCGGGGGTCAAGGGGAGGTGTGCTTCTATTGCAAGAAGCGCGGACATCGTTGGCGGCAGTGCTACCAACGACCCAAGGATTGGACCCCGCCTTCATCAAGCAACCAGCGTGGTGGCACAAGGAGTGGGGGAGTCATGGGAGCTAGTGGAGAGGAGAAGGATGAGGAGAAAGGCGGCAAATCTGAGGAGCGGAAGGCCGGGTTCTTCTTCTTTGTGAACGAAGGCGCAACCGACCACGCTATGGCTGCCAAGGTTCTCCTACACCCCCTCACCCATTGGGTGATTGACTCCGGGAGCTCTTGGCACATGACTCCCCGTGCGGACCTACTTGATGAGATTCAGCCCGCACCCATCTCTACAGTCACATCCGCGACGGGCGCCAAGGCCAAGGTCATGGGCATGGGATGCGCCAAGTTCATGGGAGCGGATGGAGAGCTCGTGGGGCTGAAGAACGTGCTGTGGGTGCCGGACTTGTGCGCGAACCTGATATCTACCGGCCGGTTGGGAGATGCGGGTGTGAACACCGAGACGATTGGCTCGGAGCGCTATCGTGCCTACAACGATGAGCGGCTGATTTGGGACCTGCAGTGGAAAGGGGATATCCACAAGCGGATGTGGCAGATCCCGGTCCTCCCTTGGCGGAAATCGGGCAAGGCGGCAATGGCGGCATCTATGGAGGAGAGCGTTACCGAGGAGGAGCAGCAAGGTGTGCAAGGAGAGGAGCTGATTGGAGGAAGCGCGGCGGTGAAGGCGTCGGCTACCTCGGGCCAAGCGGATTGGGAGACTTGGCATCGGCGGCTCGCACACGTGGCTGTTTCTACACTAGAGGTGATGCACAAGGAGAAGTGCGTGCATGGGCTGCAACTGCAAGGAGATGGCATTCACTATGGCAGCTGCGAGGCGTGCATGCAAAACAAGTTTGCGCGGTTCCCGTTTCCACGAGCGGAGGGATCAGCGAAGGCACCATTGGAGGTGGTGCACATGGACCTGGTGGGTCCTATGAGGACTGAGGGGACTGGGGGAGTGCTCTACTTCCTCACCATGGTGGACGAATGGAGCCGTTTCACGTGGGCGCGTCCCTTGTCCAAGAAGAGCGATGCTGCAGCGGCAATCAAGGAGGATTGGTTGCCGATGGTGGAGCGGCAAGCGATGCGGCTGGTGAAGGTGCTGAGGAGCGACCGAGGTGGAGAGTTCCTTGGAGCGGAATTCACCAAGTTCCTCAAGAGAAATGGCATCCGACATCAGCTGACCTGCCCTGGAACACCGCAGCAGAACGGCATTGCTGAGCGTGCCAACCGGACCATTGGGGAGGCGGCTAAGACCTTGTTGGGGGCTGCTGGGATGCCGTACAAGTTCTGGCCTGATGCTGTTCGCCATGTCATCACGGTCAAGAACAGGGTCTTGACGCATGTTGGTGACAAGCATTGGGTGCCGTACGAGCGTTGGCTTGGGAAGAAGCCATCTATTGACATGCTGCGTGTGTGGGGCTGCATGGGGCTTGTGATGGTGCCTAAGGAGCAGAGGCACAAGCTGGAAGTTGCTGCTGTGTGGGCTGTCCATCTTGGGATGGCTCCTGACTCGAAGGGGTGGCTAATGTGGGACCCCAAGAGCAAGAAGTCGCTGGTCAGCCGTGATGTCAAGTTTGTGGAGGACGTCATGTACAAGGACTGGCAGCAGCAGCAGCAGGTGCATATTGGCTTGCGCCTGCAGGAGATTGAGCGGTCTGCAGTGGAGGAGGTTCAGCTGCACCTTGAGGATCTCCCTGGGTCAGAGCTGACCAGTGATCACAGTGGCGGTGGTGAGCAGCAAGGCGCTGGTCCTACTGCGGAGGAGGGGTTGGAGGATGAGTCGGCACGTGTGGACTCACCATCTCAGCCCGAGCCTGCTGCAAACACCAAGGTCACCAAGAGGAGTGTGCAGAGAGGAGCTTCACCACATGGGCAGCAGACTGTAACCCGTGAGAAGAGAGTGGCAGCAGCACCCTCAAGGCTGAAGTATAGCCGTTTGGGAGGACCCAAGCAAGGTGCCATGGCGGTTCAGGCGGATGAGGGAGAGGATGAGGAGATGGCGTTCTGTTTCTTCACACCCTTGCCTGGAGAACCAGCCACAGTGGAGGAGGCACTTAGTGGACCCCAGAAGGAGGAGTGGAAGGCTGCCATGGATGCAGAGTTCAACAGTCTCATTGAGAATGGGACTTGGGAGCTTGTTGAGTTACCCGAGGGGCGACGGCCGATCAGCAGCAAGTGGGTCTTCAAAGTGAAGAGTGGTGCTGATGGTGCGCTGGAGTGGTTCAAGAGCCGTTTGGTCGCCAAGGGGTTTCAGCAGAAGGAGAAGGTCGACTTTGGGGAGATCTTCGCTCCCGTTGCTAAGCCATTGACACCGAGGACTTTGATGGCTGGCGCAGCTGTGAAGGGATGGCACGTGAAGCAGATGGATATCACCACTGCATTCCTCAATGGAATACTGCTGGAGGATATCTACATGGCGCAGCCCGACGGCTATGAGGATGGGACCAGCCGGGTGTGCAAGCTTAAGAAGGCCATCTATGGCCTTAAGCAAGCACCCAGGTGTTGGTACGAGAAGCTGGAGGAGGTGCTGCTGGGTGGAGGCTTTAAGACGTCCCAGGCGGATCACAGCTTGTTTCTGCTTGGAGAGGGGGAGCAACTGCTTTTGCTGCTGGTGTATGTCGACGACATACTGCTGTTCTCACCTTCCATGGAGCAGATTGAGAGGACACAGAAGCTGCTGATGGACAACTTCAAGTGCAAGATGCTGGGGGATGTCCACTACTACTTGGGGCTGCAGATTGAGAGGGATGTTGAGAGGAGGTGGCTGAAGGTGCATCAGTCACACTACATCTCTGGTGTCATGGAGCGGTATGGTGTGACTGGGGGTCGCACTGTGATGACACCGTTCCCTGCAGGCTTCAAATTGAAGAAGGCAGCAGAGGAGGATGATGTGCTTGAGGATGAGCAGCAGAATGAGTACCAGTCACTCATTGGGAGTGTGATGTATGCAGCTGTGCATACGCGACCTGATGCTTCATTCGGAGTGGGGCAGCTGGCCAGAGTTGTGCAACGGCCCACTGTGGAGCAGTTGGAGGTGGCAAAGCGCTTGGTGCGCTACCTTGGATCAACGGCATCTGCTGGTGTTCAGTTTTCAGCTGGCGGCCAGCTGAAACAGATTGGAGCAGATGGGGTCACGCCTGGTACCTTGAAGCTGTCGTGCTTCACCGACGCCACATGGGCCTCAGAGGATGAGGATCAGTCATCGGTTGGCGGCTTTGTATGCATGGTCGGAGGTGGACCAGTGAGCTGGAGGTCCAAGAAGCAGAGTGAGATTGCTCAGTCTTCCGGAGAGGCAGAGTACATGGCGATGTACCATGCCATCAAGGAGATCGTGCTCCTGAGGAAGCTGCTGCAGGACATGGGAGCTGAACAGGAGGGACCTACACCACTTTTCTCCGACAGCGAGGCTGCTATTGGCATGGCCAATAATCCTATCCTGAATGGGCTGAACAAGCACATGAAGATTAAGTGGCACTGGGTGAGGCAGATGGTGAAGGAGGGAGCTGTTGAGCTTCACCATGTGAAGGCTAGCAAGCAAGCGGCAGATTTTCTTACAAAGAGACTTCCCGAGAGCGCACATTGGAAGTGTGCTAAGATGTGCGGCATGGCATTGCACTAGTGTGGGCAGCAATGTCATGAATGCATGTGTGATTGTGTGCATGAGACTATGCATGTGTGTGGGTGTGTGTGCATGCAGTCCGTTAGTCTGAGGGGGAGTTTGTTGGATGCACGTCATACTGAGTGCATGTCATCCTAACGTCCTGCTGAGTGCTCGTGCTATTTGTGCTTGCATGATTTGCATGAGCGTATGTCATTGTGCATGGCTGTTGGATATTATCATCTCTGTGTTTTTCTCCAAGTCTAACTGCTTGATCATGCAGGAGAAATCCAGAGCTTTCCAACGATACCAAGATCGCCTTATTCCGACCAAGATCGCCCAAGTTACAAGATTTCCAAGATTTGGATTTCTTATTACCTTTTTGGGGTTATATCTAATTTGGGTGATTACTTGGGACATGACTATAAAGGGATCTTTGGTTGGGTGGTTAGGAAGCCAACTTTGACTTTTGGATTGGGGTGGCTAGAAGTTTCTAGCATGGGTTGCAAATGTTGTAACACCTAGGCAAAATCCAACTAGATTGGATTTTGCATGTGACACCTCAAGGACCTCATGATGAGGGTTGCATCCTTGCTGCTAGGAAGGTTCTTACTATCCTTCCCTAGCTCTTGGAGAACCCCTTCCCTCTCATGGTTCTCTTGGAGGTCCCCAACTCCAACTTTCTATGCCCTAATGTTTGTACTTCCTCCACCATTCTAGTTATGCGGCTGCTGGACGTTTTCACTTTGTTCTCACTCTATAGACCATCTTAACGACTGATTCAACTTGGAAATGGTAGCTAAGCCTAAGACGCACCTTCCTACCGAGCGGATTTGCGTTTAGTTGAGTAATGAGTTCATCGTAAGCTCTCAAAGTGACGGATCCTGAACAACACAAACATGGCGTACATCTCAGACCGTAGCTGCTGGAACTCGTCTCGTGTAACAAACTGCCCGTGCTCTGCACCTTCAGCCAGCGCATCCATGACATCCGGAAAAGGGTGTGTAGAAACCCCTCTCTGGCCAAGGGGATCAACGTCTTCTGCAGCAGCACCGTGTGCCCTCACACTATCACGCTGGCGGGAAAAGGGAAGCTCAGGGAAGGGATTGGCAATGGTGCTTGGTTGATGCACACGCGATGGACCGGCGAGGGGGGAGACCGCCCTGCCCCGGGTTGGAGAAGCGTGTAGTGGCCGAAATAGGTATGAGGGAGAGGCGAGTGGGGAGTGCGTGACGGGGGCTGGTGGAGGGGATTCGGATTCCTCGCCTGTTGCCGCGCCGGGTGCAGTCACAGCGACTTTGCTCGGGCCGGAGTATGGCGTGAAGAACCTTGGTCCTCCTGTGGATAGCGGTGCCACACTCGCTCTTCCGGCCCCTTTCACTAGCTGCATCCGTTGCACGGTTACCGGTGGCCCAATGCCTGTAACACGGGGGGCTGAGAGTCACACGGAGGATGAGCACGGAGCTGGTGTCTGTAAGGTGCACTAGGACACGTGCAAACATGACGAGCAACCGCATGATTCTAACATGGGTGTAGCACGCAACTGTAGTGTATAGTCACGCCTTACCCGGTTTAGCCGATTCGTCAACCTTCTCCTTCCCTGCGGTGGGAAAAGACGGGTGGAACACGGTGTTGTTAGGGTCTGTTCAGCACTAACCGCGGCAGCTATGCCAGTCGTTTGTGACACGTTGCTTACAACGTTGCGGTCCCTTCGGTTTTGCTGCCTGCTCCTTATCATTGCCCCATTTCCGTGGTGTGCTTTGGCGGGTGCTGCCTCGTTTACGGGCAGGTTCTTTCTTTGCCGAACCCACAGGTACCCCTTTCGCGCGCGGTCCCTTTCCGTCTCCATCGCCTTTAGCTCCCTGTCTCACTTGCTTCCTTCCACCCCGGTCAAGTTCAACCTTCACCTTACGCGCCTTCGATTTGCCCGCTGGTCCGCCACGCATTGCGTCACCCGCCCCGCGTTTCCGGGATTGTCCAGACCGGCCCCCCACCTTCCCTGTGCCACTCCCCCGCCCGCCTCGCGCGCCCCGTCCTTTCCCTGCCGGCTCCTCCTCCTCCTCCTCCTCATCCGCCCCTTCCTCCACCTCCTCTTTCTCCTCGTCGTCCTCCTCCTCCTCATCCTCCTCCTCATCATCCTCCTCCTCCTCTTCCTCCTCCTCCTCCTCCTCCTGCTCCTCCTCCTCCTCCTCCTCCTCCTCCTCCTCCTCCTCATCCTCCTCCTCCTCCTCCTGCTCCTCATCCTCGTCGTTCCCCTCATCGTCCTCCTCATCGTCCTCATCCTCATCCTCCTCCTCCTCCTCCTCCTCCTCATCATCGTCGCCCTCCTGCTCATCCTCGTCCTTTTCTCCCTCCCCTGCATCCTCGTCCTCCTCCTCCGCATCCTCCTCGGCCTCCTCCTCCCCATCCCCCTCGTCCTCAACATCCGCTTCACCTCCCCCCCGAAGATTGCTTCCCCCTCCGTCCGCTAGATGGTTTCCTCGGACCGGATCCCACCTTATGCCGCATTGCATGATCTGTCGCCAAGCCACTTGGCGCCGTGGTGCCTCGCATTGTCCCAACTTCAGCACCACCGGCGTCGTCACTGCTGGCTGTCGTCTGCCTCCTCTTCGCGCGTATGGGCATGTCCTCAGCCATGGGGGTGTCATTCTCCTCCTCACCATCGCTCTTCCTCTGCCTACGCCTCCCGCGTCCCCCAGAGGGAGGAGATGCACCTACGTCGGCAATGTCGTGTTTCGGCCCCTCCGTGCAATCGTGCGCAGCATCCTTCTCCTTATCTATCACTGCAGCAGATATTTCGACCACGGGCGGGGGGGGCAGCGTCAGATGCTGCTGCTTTGCCTCTGCCACGGACGGCAAAGTTGCGGCCTGATCTTGGCGGGGAGAGTCGCCGTGCTTTCCTCCAGTCGCAAAGCCCTCTCTGTCCCCCGACCGGACGGCAACACTCACGCCGCCACGCCCAGGGTCTTCGTTCCCGCCGATGGTGCCGTCGTCAGAATGACCGGGCTCGAGGGCAGCAGTGGCAACATCCGCATCGCTCCTGACGGCCGAAACACGCTTGCGTGCCGTTGGTTGCTTCCCCTTGTCCTCCGCCTTCTTCCCGGGCTTCTGCTTTCCCACCTCAGCCTTTTTCCCCGCCGCACGTTTCGTTTGATCGGCTTGCGCGGCGGCCTTTTTGGTAGCCCTAGATCTGGCCCCACCCTCTTGGTCGGTCTGATGCGACATCCTTTGTGTCGTGCGTCGTTTCGCCTCCTCCTGCTTTTCTGTTTGCCGAGTAGCAGGTGTCATGAGGGTGGTACGAATGCAAGTTTTAAATTGCGGGATTGGGTAGCTGAGTTAAAAAAAAAAAAACCGGAAAGGTTTGTTGCTATTTGACCCCGTCCCGGTGAAGCCAATACTTTTTCACCCTAAATCGGAAGGTACAATTACACCTGAATTAGTAGCTACTAAGCACATGGCATCAGCCCTTTCCTTCGTCGCTACTCCGTCTAACTGGCGATTTGGAAACACCTGTGTTCAGCAGCGAGCGGCGTCAAGGTAGTGGGTATGAGGGTGACGGAAGCTGGTGAGTGGGGCACGACGGTAGTTGGGGTGGTTTGCGAGTCTATGGAGAGGACTGTAAGCAGAACCCGCACCATCGGACGGTCTACGATTTGCCACCCGATCAGAAACGCACTACACGCTTGATCACAGTCGCTGCTTCCGCGGCGAATGTCCAGCTTGGCTGGTGCGGTAGTGGGGAGGGTCGTTTGAGATGCGTCGGCCAATCAGCGCCAACGCATCAATCTCCACGGAATGTAGTACCGTTTCGACACCACCAATCATCACATCCTGCAAAATACAGTGCCTAGTGCATTGATCAAATTTTAACATAGTGTAGCTAAATACACTTGCAAAGTACAACTAAGACAATTTGAAGTGAATAGCCGTTTATGGTGTCATATGGTGTGAAGTTTAGTGAGTGCATGGGGCTTAGGACGCACTCTTTGTGCTTCCAACTCGTGGACTATAGAATGCTATACTGAGCACACATTGCGAATGGGCGACGGATACTGGTCGTTGGAAGTTGTTCAAGCACGACGTGTACTAGTGCCAACTGGAATGGAGATGTAGTGTGGTGTTGGCTTGGGCTCCATTCTTGCGTGGGCCCTCGACATGGTGAATTGAGGGTGTGGGATGAAGCACAGGCCCAACGCACGAGCGTTGATGCGCAATCGACATCGCTGTTTAGTTTGGCGACGGTGCTGCGTTCGCATCCATACAAGGCTAGCGCGACCAGGCGAATCCGTTGTGGAATGGTGTTGGATGGGGCTCCATTCTTGCATGGGCCCTCCGCCAGGTGCATTGAGAGTGTGGGATGAAGCACAGGCCCAACGCACGAGCGTTGTTGCGCAATCGACATCGCTGTTTAGTTTGGCGACGGTGCTGCGTTCGCATCCATACAAGGCTTGCGCGACCAGGCGAATCCGTTGTGGAATGGTGTTGGATGGGGCTCCATTCTTGCATGGGCCCTCCGCCAGGTGCATTGAGAGTGTGGGATGAAGCACAGGCCCAACGCACGAGCGTTGTTGCGCAATCGACATCGCTGTTTAGTTTGGCGACGGTGCTGCGTTCGCATCCATACAAGGCTTGCGCGACCAGGCGAATCCGTTGTGGAATGGTGTTGGATGGGGCTCCATTCTTGCATGGGCCCTCCGCCAGGTGCATTGAGAGTGTGGGATGAAGCACAGGCCCAACGCACGAGCGTTGTTGCGCAATCGACATCGCTGTTTAGTTTGGCGACGGTGCTGCGTTTGCATCCATACAAGGCTAGCGCGACCAGGCGAATCCGTTGTGGAATGGTGTTGGATGGGGCTCCATTCTTGCATGGGCCCTCCGCCAGGTGCATTGAGAGTGTGGGATGAAGCACAGGCCCAACGCACGAGCGTTGATGCGCAATCGACATCGCTGTTTAGTTTGGCGACGGTGCTGCGTTCGCATCCATACAAGGCTTGCGCGACCAGGCGAATCCGTTGTGGTACGGTGTTGGATTGTCATCTAACCTTGCACGGACATTCAAGTAGGTGCCTCAAAGGGGTATGAAGCAGAGCCACAACGCACAATTGGCGATGCGTTATCGTGAGGGCACGAAGTTCTTGTGTACTTCCCGTATGTTGCCAGACCACACTAGAGATCTTGTATGGTTTTTAGACTGTCACGCTGTCAACTAGGGGTGGATCTCGAGCAGGCATTTTCATGTGACCGTGTAGTAGTTATCATCAACGAGTTTAGTGTATAGATTAAATGCAATTGTACAATGTAATATCCTGCGCTGTATTTTGTCCGTTGTCGAGCTCACCACTGTGAGCTCACTAACGTGAGCGCGATCTCCCCCGTATAAGGGTGCATTCCTGGTTGGTGGCAGGGCAACTGTTCACATCGAGTTGGTGGCAAGTGTACCCAAAAATTCAGTGGGCCGGAAAATGCGCTTGCCACCAACAGTTGCCCTGCCACCAACTCAGGAATGCACCCTAACAGTTCGCAACTGAACTACAGATCCAAACGGATCTCTTCCCGCTCTTCCTCATCCCACTCGACTCTCACGCACCAAGAGTGCGTGAATCCACAGGCACGTCCTTCTCACGCACACACAAGACCTACCGTCTTAGAATCAAGCGCATTCTCCGCTGCTCACGTCGTGGTCTGTCAAAACGGGGGCGACACGCCTTGTAGGGAAGACGACCTGGGATGTGAGCGGTTTGTAGCGTGCCTTGTCACGACCGCGCGGCGCGCACATCGTTAGGCACGTCCAAACATAAGCTGCCCGCTCAAGTGCCAGTCGTGCAGTGATACAAGCCGCCTTGAACAGTGCGCGGTTTGGCGATGACCGTGTTGCATTACCAGCCTTCTTGCACGGAGTACGTAATGCCTTCTCAAGCTTCTCACGACGCTCGTTGCTTCACAGGCCATTCCTCAACACTTAGACAGATCCGTACCGCATGGGCTCCTTACCTGGCGTCATCTGCGAGTTTTGGACTGGATGGTTCCCCAACGCCCAAGTTTATGGCGGTCACAAGTCACGGCGGACCCCTTGCCAAGGCCTTTCCGCCGTGGCAAGGCCCTCGCAATCTGCACCATCCGCCGGACTACACGCACTGCTTTTCGTGCAAGAGATTCTGTCGGACGCTCCCGCTGCTCCCGCTTCACCTACCGCGTCTAATGCGTCCAACACCGACGCTGTGAATGGTCCTCCTCGCGTGCATGAAGCTGAAGATGACGCAACACCCTCGGCTGGGAACGTGGGGGCTTCTGAATCTGAGCATCAACCGCCACCCGGAACACCTGCAGATGACACGAGTGCGGTTCCGGGGTGCCGCCCTGGAGTGAGTCACGCGGCCCCGCCGACAATCATCTCCGGGGAGAGCAATGCGACGCCCCTCAATCCGATTGCGGTGAAGCTGCTGCACTTCGTGAGGCGTGTAAATGGCGGAATGGGCATGGCGGAGATCGACATCAATGGCCTGCTTCAGCTCGTGGTGGAGCCCGGCCTTGCGCCTCTTGTGATCTCAGAGATCCAGAACTGCAAGGATCTGGAGAGGTTCGAGATGGAGCGCTTGGTTGGGCTCAATCGCGGATGGTCAGTGGCGACCTTCGAGATTGAGGGTCATCCTCCACAACGCCTCCTCTTCCAGAACTCTGCGCAGGTAAGCCGGCCGTGGATGCGTGGCTGCGAAATGCAGATTCCGCCTCCATTTGGTCCATGTGTGCGATCCGACCCTTCCCCGCTCCCGCCACTAAACCCCTGTTTGGTTCTCCCTCGCTCTTGATGCCGTACTCCAGGCTTTTGCTGAACTGTTTGGGCACACCAACAACGCGCCCGGCTTCAAGCTCAAGGCTTGTGTCGATGAGGACCATGGCACAGGCGAGCGTCGCTATACCACGCCAGAAACTGGAACGTGGTGGAACGATGCTCAGGTATGTAAATACCCCGCTGCCACCCAAAACCACACGCGTGCGCCGTCCTCCGTTGACGCGCTGATGTGGAGGGAGCATCTTCAGTGCGTCATGTTAGTGGGGAGTGTTATGTACCATGCTTAATCCGCCAGGCGACACATTACCTTGGTGGTGTTTGACCGTGGGGGTTTTCCGTCTTTGTCGTGCATGCAGGAACACTTCGGATGGTCCGAAGTCGTGGGGGGTATCATCCTATATTCGGATGTGACGCACATGAGCAACAACGGCCGGAAGAAGGCGTGGCCGCTCACGATGACGCTTGCCAACATCTCCCAGGCCAAGCGATGGGGGAAAGCCGGGCACACGCTACTTGCTCTCCTTCCTATCCCCCCTTCGGCAATGTCTGCTGTTGAAAAGGTGATGCTCTTCCAGCGATGCGTCCTCACCGTGCTGCAGCCGCTTCTGGATGGCATGGACAGGTACGTACTCGATTTCCGTCATGCTATGTCGTCACCGTGTGCACAGCATAGTGTGCGCAGCGCTTTTGTATGTTGCATTACCCTTTGCCCCTCCTCGCTGATGCACAGAGTCGTCATGGCTGTTGACGTTACCACTCTACCCGTTCCTTGCAGCGGCTTCCGTCTCAGGGACCCTTTCGGTGATTGGCAAACAGTGCGGCCACTGCTGTACGCCTGGGTGTGCGACTACCCCGAGAGCGGCAAGATTAGTTGCACACTCTCGCATGGATCGCGGATGCCGTGCAGCATCTGCTATGCTGCCATGGTAAGCAAACATGCCATGTGAACGCCTTCAGCGCCATCGTCATCTGACTGTCGCATGACGGACCTCCTAATTTTTTCACCCTTACCAGTTCATCCCATCCCACCCCCCGTGCTACACCAGGAGCATTTAGTTGCTGTCAAGGCACGGAACACGCCGCGCATGCCTGAACAGCAGCAATGGATCGTGAATGAGGCGGCTGGGTTGACATCAAGCCAGGCCGACCCATGCAAGACCTACTCGACCCACCCAGTTGAGGTGAGCGACCTGTCCACCGCGCTACTTTCCTGTCTAAGCACTCCGTGTTGAGAAGCCCTGGGGGAGATGTGCACTGCCATTGCACTGCCCCACATGTTGGCCGAGTCTCTCGTATACCTTTCTCTACCATTCCCCACCACACCCCCTCCGCCAGTGTGTGCTCTGGAAATGGGATGTCTCAGGGACCGTGTGGGGCAATCCCTACCTCGTTATCATGCCTGACATCATGCACCAGGCGGACCTGGGCATGATGA